CTTAACTTGAGAGTATGTCTGAGCCCTTAATTCTTGTCAAATTAAGGTGGATACCACTGGCTTGAGCCCAACAGCATAAAGGTAGTGGGCAAACACTTTTTATAATAGGCAAATACTCCTTTCCCCTCTCCTGACCAGAAATGCCTATACTGCATTAATGAACAACATTTTAATTTACTTTTATAGTTTCTTTTCAATCCTGGTTGTAAAAGATGGCACTCTGTCTAATGTTACCAAGCTATCGCTTTCTAAGTGGAATTTTCATTAGCTTTGTTGTATTGAGTAAACCCTCTTTGGATTAGCATTGACTTGACATGGTAAGAAAGAAAACCCAAACATAACCCTCATTTTATTCTCTTCAACTTTGGTAGTTATTATAGTAGTAGTAGTATTTTATTATTGTTTATTATATCCATGGAAGAAATGTAAAATGTTGCAAGTTCTGTCTTCACATGGTTAATCTACCACAGAAAGTTTTCTTTTAGGTATTCGGATTCCAATTGTGACTATAACTAATCATATTCTGAAAAAAAAAAAAATCATCTGAGACGATAAACATGAAATGAGTGATAAAGGAAGTCTTTTTATGTTTTGTCCTGTCTCTGGTTGTTAAGACCAGGAAAACCTGTCTCAGGTTAAGACCATAGGCTGAAAAGTCAATTTTTGACAGAAGTTACAGTGATACATCTGGGATTCATGTTCTGTCTTAGCTGAGCTACTGCTATTTAACTGTCTTGGATTAACAGAAGCTTTGCTTGCTTTTAAGAACTATACCTTTCAATATCGTGACATTATGATGTACTATTGGTTAATTAAGGGAAGAATGTGTATTTAGACTTACTGCTCAAAATTATGCAGGAGACAGCCTGGTGCTTGGGAGAATTCTTCAGTCCTAGCATATTTCCAGAATATGTTGGAACTGAGACTTAGGAAAGAAAATCTATGCCTTAAAAAAAAAAAAAAAAAAAAATTGTGGTTTATTTTTGTGATGCATAACATGCACATGCTTTCCAAAAATCATAAAACAGTGTGCAACTCCTCCCTCCTTTCATAATGTAGCATATCCCATTCACAAGGTGTTTAATTACTTATTTAAATTTAATCATGTAATCATTTAATAGATGGAAGCACAAGTTTAAAGTTTAAAATGCACATCCTTGCTTTACTGACATGGGACCATTAAGTCTGTGAGCCTGAAAAGAAAGACAGAGTTTATGAAAATGCAAACACGTCTGAGTAACACTGAACAGAGTTCAGCAATGCCCAACGGGCCACTTCTACAATAGCAATCCACTTCTGAAATGTTGGTCTCTGCAGGGAAGATCACTATCATTATAATTAGAGCTAGACTACAATGGACTGCTCACAGTAGCTATTCCAAAAAGTTCTTTGAAGGTGAAGATGAGTGGTAGGCATTCTCAGGAAAAGAAAATCGCTTTCTCATGTAGAAAAAAAAAAAAGGCAACTCAATAAATAAATAAATAGATGTCTAAAATAAATACAATTTTTTGCCATCCCAGTGTAAAATAAAATAATTTCATTTCCAGTTTGGATGTTGCTGATGGGCATTAAAGAAATAAATATTATTTATAACTTCCTGTAATATATAATTATACTTGCAAAAAATAAATACATTTTGTGAGCAAATGAAGGGAGACAAAAATGTAGCAGCTCTACCTCCCAGTCCTATTTCTGATTTCAGAATTAACAATTCCTTTTTTTAACTGATGATGAAAGCCTAACTTCTAAGAACTGTTTAGTATTTTTAGGTTAGATACATTAATACAGGTATTGATATGTGTATATTGATGGTAGGAGTATTTCAAGATACTCTGATTTCTTTTTTTATAGTCTAGTTATAAAAAATTTGTCCAGGCTGTACTTAACCTTCTAAAGACTAGATCAAGCAGTTGACTAAAATTGAAAACCTGATATCAAAGCACAGTCCTTGGTTTTCACACCAAAGCCAGCACATGTTGCTGTATAGATATTTTTTTTTTAATATACTTTTACTGCTTCTCACATAATTATAATCTGGAACTTTGCATACCATGCAGCAATTTCTGCAGTCTGTTAAAACTGTAAACTTAAAACTACAGCTGCAAGAACCCTGGAAACCAAGTGCAAAGTTTTCTCTGTGGAAGATTGCGATGCTGCTGCCAAGAGCATGGAAGTTATAAAGAAAAGATTACGACACTGGTTGCATTTTCTTTTAAATAAAAATGAAGATCTGGAGAAGAGGTCATAGAACTTAACTGTAGGCAACAGGAGTTATAGAAGAACAAAAAGAGAAGGACAGGTAACAACTTTTTAAGAGGGAAAGTTCCTGAGACCCTGAATTGGAATCATCCAATTCAGACCACTATCTGCTAGGATAATGAAAATTATAACATTTCAGTACAAAGACAAGCTTTCATTATATATTTCTAGTTCACATAAGGGACTTTTAAGGAGACATAAGCCTCCTTATTGACCTGAGTTTTGAGATCTGCTATATTTTAATAACTCAGATTAGTACATTAGTTGAGGTAGGAAGGGGCCTATAGAGATCATCCAGTTCAGTCCCCCTGCTGAAGCAGTTATCTGAAGCTGCTTGCCCAGGACCGTGTCCAATGGCTTTAAACGTCTCCAAGAAGGGAGACTCCACAACCACTATGGTCAATCCGTGCCAGTGCTCAGTCACCCTCACAGTTAAAACAGTGTTTCCTGATGTTCAGAGGGAACCTTCCGTGCTTCAGTTTGTGCCCCTTGCCTCTGACCCACTGAAAAGAGCTTGGGTCTGTCCTCGTTGCACACTTCCTTCAAGGATTTATACAGATTAAATAAATACCCCCTAAGCCTCGTCTTCTCCAGGCTGAGCAGTCCCAGCTCTCTCAGCCTTTCATCATAGGAGAGAGGCTTCAGTTCCTCAGTCGTTTTTGTGGCATTTCGCAGGACTCCCTCCAGTAGCTCCATTCTGTCAAATTGGAAGGTTAAAGGATGTAAAAAAGATCTGCTATAAATTTCCTCACCGCACTTTTGATGTGACAGTGGAACATAATAGTATAAAGAAAGGTAAATAAAGATGTTCAGACAGGTGTAAATACAGCAACACTTGTTTTTCTTCACATTGAAATCAGGAAATTAACAACTAAACATTTTTTCTTCTGACCTCTGCACTTTTTTATATCCCTTCATTTCCCAGCAACTACTATAATCCACAGAAATGTCTTTACTTAGCAAGTAGTGTGTCTTTTTTTAAAAAGTTGGATTTTTTTATTTCCTAACAGTTACATTTTCTATGGCGTAAGTGGACTGAAGACTCAGAATTGGATCCGATAATGTTGATTTTCAAAATACCTAGGTTTTTGGCAATCTGCCCATTAAAACAAAGCAATATGGTGTTGTAGATGCTTTGCTGTCCACATTTGATGTGTGTAGAGGAAATACCATAACTGTTTGAGAAAAGTATTCCTGAGTAATACAGTTCCACTGGTTGCACTAACTGAGCTAGTAAGTAAGCTCTCTCCTGCTATTATTATATTGCAGTTAGGGTATCAAACAAATGTATGTATGTACAATTTGCTTAGTGATTTTAATATACTCTGACAGACATTTATCTCCCAATTTAAACTTATGACTGCATGGACCATTTCTTCGGAATTATAGTCTTTAGGTTTTAACCAAACATTTTCAGGAGGAAATAGGCCTGTTTTACTTAGCTTTTATAAGTTAATAAAATCAGGTTTGTGGTTTTTTAAAAATTTGCCATCAGAGAAGTACTCAATGTTTTATTCCTTTTCTCATAAAACACTGTTGAATTGATGCGAGCTTCGAAGTAGACTGAAACAGATGAGTTATCAGAATTCATACATTGTTAAAAAATATTTTCATAGCAAAAAAAAGGCATCCAAAGAATAGCAACAAAGCTGTTGAAGGGTCTAGAGAACAGATCATACAAGGAGTGGCTGAGGGAACTGGGGTTGTTTAGCCTGGAGAAAAGGAGGCTTAGGGGTGACCTTATCACTCTCCACAACTACTGGAAAGGAGGTTGTAGCGAGGTGGGGGTTGGTCTATTCTTCCACCTAACAAGCGATAAGACAAGAGGAAGTGGCGTCAAGTTACAATAGGGGAGTTTTAACTTTGATACTAGGAAAAATTTCTTCACAGAAAGGATTGTCAAGCCTTTGGAAAAGGCTGCCCAGGGAAGTAGTGGAGTCACCATCCAAGACATGTGTGGCAGTGTGAGGTTAACAGATGGACTCGATGATCTCAAGGGCTTTTTCCAACCCAAGTGTTTCTATTGATTTTTAAAGGCCAGGTAGTTAAACTTTTGCTGCTTTTTCACTTTCCATGTAAAAATAACAATATTTGTCAACACTAGAAACATTACTGAAGTCTTTACTAATATGGATATAATTTCAATCTGCTGAATTTTTACTAGAGGTATTGTCTGTATTAAAATAACTAAGTACAAGATAGTTAGCACAGTGAAAATACTAGGTTCGATCCTAGAAATGACCATGGTGTCGTGACATATGCAACCAAGTAAAATGGTACCTTTGACAGAATTTGAGCTTCTGTGGGTGTCTCACTTCTCAGAAAGTTTCCTCCTTAAACGAAGTTCACGCATTTGTGACTCCCTCTAGTGGGTAACTTTCTCAACTATACAGTAGGAAATGTTCTCCCTATTAAAATTGTCTGACATCATTAAAAATTGAGAGGTCTTTGTTTTCAGGGTGAAGATCTGATTCCCTTCCATGGACAGTCAGAATGCATTTGTGTGCATCTGCACCCATTACTACTCATTTTACGATATATTTTTTTAAAGATTTCCATAATGTGATTGCTGATAATCTTATATCTTCATGTGTGCAGCTAAGGTTTGTGCATTAGCAGATGGAACATACTTTTATTTTCTGTGTCACAAACCTCTTCTGTTCCCAAGGCTTTCATTTACATGAATGTATATAACTGAAATGTTCACGTTTTACCTTAATTCTTATTTAATTTTATTTCAGGTACCACCAAAGTAAACCTTGTGAAGATCCCATCAACTGCATCCAGTCCTCGAGACACTGCTCTAGCAGCTGTTATATGCAGTGCACTTGCAACAGTGCTCTTAGCTCTTCTTATTCTTTGTGTCATCTATTGTAAGAGGCAGTTTATGGAGAAGAAACCAAGCTGTAAGTTTCCAGTTATTACTGTTTCTTTGTAATATTCACATACTGGTGATTGTTTGGCAGATCTCTCTGTAGGTAAATAAAGTTTCTGCAGCATTCAAGCAAGTTTATCATTGAGATGACCAAGCTAGCAGAAGACTGCATATCCATATATATTTGCCAGCTCAGTGTGATGTTACAGCTTCTACTGAGAAAATGCTTTGCAGATGTCCAGAAACAATCCAGTTGCATTCATTCTGTGCCATACTCTGTTAGATGCTACCCAGACATATGCAGACCATTTGGGATCCAAGCTGAGATGTCATGTTACAGTTGCTGTGCCAATATGGAAATACTAGCTTGGAGGATCTGTGCATCACATGGCATTGTGAAAGAGCTTAGCTTGTCCAGATAATTCATGTGGCCAGTGTACATGGCAGGTTGTCGTTAACAATTTTGGTTTTATGGGCGTATTCCAGATTAATTCAATGTCCAGGCCAGTTAGATTTACAAACTAAAAAAAAAAAAATCCATAACCACTCAGCATTGTAATTCACACAGATTGTTTATAATTAACATTTTATGCCCCTTAATTTAAATTAAGAAAAAGTCAAAAGCACTCTAGTTCCATTTATCATTTAAAAATCTTCTGTTAAAATGTTTATAGCATCTAATGAACACTGGATGTCCAACAAGAATTATACCTAGGAAGAACTGATGTTATCAGTGCTTATAACCCAAGCAAATATAAAAAGATTCAGGGAGGCATTGTAAGAATTACTCCTAACCTAGAAGATGCTTTACAATGTAAGTTTTAAGAAATTCAGACATAGTGAATTCAAACTTCAGTTAGTGAAGTTTAGTAACTTGTTTGCCTTGGCATACAGTTAGAGAGATTAAAGGAAGACCACTGCTAATATAAAGCTCTTTAAGATAACGTAAACAAAATCCCAGTGGCTGAAAAATGACTGTGGAAGATTTCAGATGTGAAACACTGAGAATCATTAAACACTGGGAAAATGTGACAGTGAGTAAGATATACTCTCAAACCATCACTGAACTAATAATGTCTTCCTAGAAGAGGCTGTAGTGGAGCCAGCTGTGTAGGGTTTGTTGCGAAGCCTGTGGTTTGCGTTGTATGAAACCACATGATCATTGTGGGTCTTTCAGCTGAAAAATGTATGGAAATACTGTATAGCATGACATTTAACCACCCTTTGAAGACAGGAGGCTTTGAGCAGGAAAAATAATTATCATTTGCTAATAGATATTTTTATTCCTTTTGTCCAAAGGGTCTCTGAGATCCCAAGACATTCACTACAACGGCTCGGAATTGTCATGTTTTGATAGGCCACGGCTGAACGACTGTGACCAGAGAACTTGTTGCCAGTGCCAGCGAAGCACATCACAGACATGTGGTATGTTGGGGCTACTTAAAAGCGACTTTATGGCACGAGGAACGTTTATGTTGACTCTGGAGTTGTGGCATTTAACTACGGAGCTAACGTTGTCAAACTACTCTTTGTCCTAAGCTAATTTCTCAATAAGCATGTAGAATTTCTAAGTAGCCTTTTGGTTATGATTTTTCTTTTTCCATTTTTATTCCAATGACCCCTCACTTTAAAAATAGCTTTAAATGTCTGTCTCATTTCTTTCTGATAGAAATAGCACTGCATCTGGCTTTGGGACTTCAGTTGGTGTGAAGGATTTATCAGACACTATCTAAGAACATGACATAAAAAGGACATTAAAAACCTGAACAAATCAACTCATTGAGATTTTGTGAAGTAGTATCAGAACAGATGCATTTATGGTGTTAACAAATACATAAAAGAGCACAGGCTTAAATACCATCCTAATGTTAACTCAGAATGCAATACTTCCTCTCACATGCATCTAGTTGAAAAGTAGATTAATTTTTAAAGTAGATATTATGACTGGCACCTGTATTACTCCTGAAAGAACAGCTTGGCTTTCATAAATAATTCTATGTTAAAGTAATAAAGAAAAAAACAAGCAAACATTTTTTGCAATAAGAAATCTCTTTCCTCAATCCATATATTATAATGTAACTGGCAAACTGGTACTCGTTTGAGAGAGTACAGAGACTAAGATTATACATAGCTTAACAATTTTATCATTTTTAAAATAATTTTCACTCCTTAGGACCAGTTCACTTGATCCCATCACTGTGCTGTGACGAAACCTGTAGCATGGAACCCAGCAGTCACAGCTGTGCTTTCCACTCACAGACTACGCTGAATGAAAGGTAACTTGGTTTGTAAACATCTTGTAAACATTATATATTTCTTATGCAGTCAGATTAGTATTTATACAGTATACAACAATAGCTGTTGGGAGTTGAATGAGGGATTTTAATGAACCGTAGCCATATATTCCTGTTTTGTACAAGAACAGGTTTATGGTGGAAAATCAATTTTAAATATTACCTGATAAATGTTGACATCACATGTTAGTTTCTCTGATAAAGAAGTGACTTATTCCTTTCATAAGGAGATAGTCTTCCTGTTACTGTGTGGTACTGTAGAGACTTTGGTGACCTCCTTTTCTGCTACAGGTTACCCAGGTGCTGCATAAACCTGTAAATCTGGAGGGATTAAGATACAGATTTGAAGTGTCATGAAGTTTTTCTTGTTTTGGAAACTCTTCCTGACCGTGAGATTTGAAATACCTAGTATTTCTGAATTTCTACCAAATGGTAACCATTAGTTTATACTCATCAACTGACTACAAATACAGTAGTCGTTACTTCTACAGCAGTGCCATGAGCTAAATATATAAAATTTATGGTGTCCTTCAGAGTTTCCTGGTTACAGATTTTAACACAGGATGTATTTATTTCTTTTAGCCAGAATTGTTTTCCATATAAGGTTTAAATTGGTCTCCAGCTGTTTTGCTCTGGCCAAATGTAGCTAAAAATGTAGAGGCAGTTTCTTCATATGTATTGTTTATGCAAGGTGACTTGGTGACCTAAGTACAAGATACAAATTACCTAAATTTTCTATAATAACTTGTTTAGATACCAGCAAGCTTTGAGTCATTCATTTATACCACCAAGCCTGACAAATTGAGAGCTGTGTACTTTGTAAGGGATCTTTTGGTTAAGGCTTTAAAAATAAATGTCATATCCATGCTATGTAGACATCAAAGATCCTGTGGTTCCTTCCAGTAGAAATTGAGTTTACTTCAATTTCCTTTGCCAAAATAATGTATTTCCTTCAATTGTGGTGCAATATCCTGACTTTTGGCCTCATCTATAAAAATGCTTTGTGTGTATATCAAAGCTGTTCAAGCATCGTGTTTTGGAAATGAACAAAGCTACTTAAAATCTGTTATAGACAATGTTAACTTGGGATGAGTTTTGTCACACAAATTATTACCGTATATCAGACTTAACATAGCCTTTAAAATTTTATAAATCTGTAGACAGTTTGGGGAAAAGAAATGTATTAGTAGATATTTTTTGTTTTGTTAACACTTATTTTTGGTATACTGCAGTTAAAAAATATTACTTTTAAAAGAGAGAGGCATGTATAGTGCCAACAGACCTGTCGCTATCATCAGGCACCTTAAATACATTTGAGATAGGTAATACTGAGTTTCTGCTTCCACTTCCTTCCATTTTCTGTAAAAGAAAACTAATTCTTGAGAGAATTAAAAATCCTTGCCCTTCATTAATATTCTGCCCTTTCCATATGAAAGAGAATATGAAAAGAACTTTCCTTTTCAAGTTTTGAGGGCTAGATAGATTCACTAAAGTGAATGTATATTCAGTATGTATATTCAGAATTACACAGATATGAGTTTTAAGCAGTATTGTTGTTTATTCCCTTTTCCTAGTCTGAATCCACTTCACTTCTCTTACTTCCATTAGATATTTGTCTAGCCTGAAAACCCAAGTGTTGGAGATTCCAGTCTTCTCAAACATCTTTCTTGCTGAAATTTAAGCTTGTTATATCTTGTTTTAAACCACCCCCCCAGCATTTAGAACATATAAATTAATTCATTTTTTTTAAACAGCATTTGCATCTGAACAGTATTATAGTATTTTTAATCAATCACATTTCTGTTCTTTAGACTGTATAAACCCCCAACAGTAATTCATGTTTTCTAATACCCCGAATTCCCAGTGTGAAGGGCTCTAGGCATCCTCTTCACCTTTACTAGTGTTCTCCAGAGCTTTCTTCATTTCAGGTGTGGAACAGACTCTATGCCTTTTCAAAAGAATTTGTTTGTACAGGGTGCTTCTGGAGTATTGCCTTAATATAAACCTGTTAAACCTTCTTGAAATACATATAATTGTTAATGATATGATAGTTATAATATTGATAGTATTTTCTGGAATGCTTTTGAAACCATGTGGGTTTTTTATCCTTTTGCAGGGCTTCTGATTCTGTTGGAGAAATGATTCCTGCCTTCCTTGGTTCTCTTTCACACTCCACCTGTGGAGACATTTCAGATGCTTGGCCACTTATGCAAAACTCAGCTTGTTATGACAGCATTTCTTTCTGTGAATCATACTCAGAACTAGCTGGAGGATCTGCAAAATCCTGCAGTCCTGAGACTGAAAGTGCAGCCCTTGTTGAGTCGGATAATAACCAGGATCTAAGGGAAGTACTTATTTCAGTTAAGTCTCTTGATGGAAGCATTGCAAAGTCCTTTGAAATCTCCAAACACAGAACATGCATGGAGGTTTCATCACTTCAGGACTCGGCGGCTGCTGAAACCCAGCCAAAGACACGGTGTAATGGAACAGCAAATGACTCGACAGACTGATAAAGAGGTAAAAAACAGAGCTACAAAGGAGGGAGAAGGAGTGCTCGAGGCATGGAGAGCTAGATAAAAATAGAATTGTAAAAAGTTGTAGAGTTAAGTTTCTCCCTAGGTTGCACCTAGCAATTGCTAAAATAAATTTAAACTCTACAAGATCAGTTTCACATTTTTAAATCCCTGACTAGATTTGAAAGGTGTAATTACTCAAACTGTATTGTTGAGATAATGTAGACAAGAATAGAGGAGTAAGTTGGTACACGAGTCCACTTGCATCAGGGGTTTTTTATTATTAAATTATTAAATTTCATGGAGAAAAAAAATCAGTTTAATAGGCTTATGACCAAACTATTATGTGAGGCTAGTTCTTATTTATGAGGGAAGATCTGAGGACTTGTCTTTGCTCGTTGTAAACAAAGCATAAAAGACATGCAAGTGTTGATCAAAAAATATTTACAAAGCCTTCTCTGTGAAGTTACAGCAGCAGCAGCAACAGAAGAGACAATCTCAAATGCTTTTTAATGCCATTTGTACACCCATGTCATCAGATAAAACATTCCATAATTTTGTCCATAAAGTATAATTTAAGCTGTAGAAGTTCAGTGTTTTAATCATCAGAGAAAATGCAGGTCTGAGGTCAAAATGAGAAGAGCTAATCAACAATCATTTCTATTGCAAAAACTCACTCTGCTACTGCTTCATCATTATATATTTTTTAATATTAGCTGTGCTCTGTACTTTAAAAATAGGATTTTCTACTCTTGGAAGTAACTGGAAGCAACAAGTAGCTAACCTGTGACAGGATCCCAAAGTATGACACATGCACTGGCTTTGTTATTCCAGGGGAATGCAGGCTGTGGCTGGAAAGCCACAGTAGTCTCCTCTGCATGTACACAGAGGCAGCAACAGAAACAGTTGCCATTAATTCTAATAATCCACTAAACTTAATTAAGAAAATCATGCTATCTGTAATTAAGAAAATTTTGGGTCATCTGCAGAAATAAAACTGCCTGCCTTTGCTCCTCTTCCATTTGGTCTTCATGCCATTTTCAAATTGTTCTTAAATAAGAAGAAAGTAGTTAATATCTAACAAAAAAATATGCATAATCTGAAAACATGTAAGTGCAATAGTTAATTCTTCATAAATCAAGCCTTAATTCTGTAGGTGACCTTTTCAAGAGGCGGAAAGGGAGGTAAACAGACTGCTAAATCAAGAATGTTTTTCCATTGACTTCAGTGGAACTTGTATATCATCCTGAAAAATCCACTGCTGACACTGAAAACATCAACCTTATCTAGGTCGCACGTATTTTTCTCAATATATTGTTTGCAATATATAGTTTTGTCTGTAACAATGTCTGGCACTAACTGCCTGTGTGTCAGATAGCAACTAGCCTTGTTTCATGTTGCTGTATGCCAAACACCATTAAGTCTCCAGGTATATGTGGGAAGGGACAGTGACATGGCTATGACTGCAAATCTCAACATTTCCAGTTGTACAACACTTATCAATGGAACTTTAATGATTTTTCAGTGTTTTAATGGAATATATATCCATATTAACAAGACTTTAAACACTTAGGAATTAATTTGTGGGATTTTTGCCTACTAAACTGAGTATCAACTTAAGATATGTGATCAATGTTATTTAGAGTTTTTCTAGATAAAAGGAACCACAGAATTTCAAACAATTACTATAAAAATTAGCTTACATTTGTTTGTTCCAATATATAAATTGTGAACTTTCTTACTGATTCATAGAATCATAGAGTGTTTGGGGTTGGAAGGAACCATTAAAGGTCTTCTAATCCAAGTTCCCCAGTGAACTGGAATAGCTTTAACTAGAACAGGTTTCTCAGCCTTTCCAGCCTGACCTTGAATATTTCCAGGGATGGAGCAATTTCCACCTCTTCTGGGCAACCTTTTCCATTGTTCCACCCTATGTAAAAAATTTCTTCGTTTTATCTCATATAAATCTCCCTTCTTTTACTTTAAAACTGTTATCCCTTGGGACATGGTAACAGGCCCTGCTGAAACATTTGTCCTCATCTTTCTTATAGACCCCCTTTAAGTACTTAAAGGCTGCAGTGGGGTCTCCCTGGGGCCTTCTCTTGTCCGGGCTGAACAACCCCAGCTCTTGTAGCTTGTCTTCAGAGGAGAGATGTTCCATCCTTCCGATGGTTTTTTGTGGCCCTCCCCTTGGACCCATTCCAGCGTGTCCATGTCTTTCCTTCACTGAGGACTCCAGAGCTGGACACGGTACTTTATGTGGGGTCTCACCAGAGGGGAGCAGAGGGGCAGGATCACCTCCCCATCCTGCTCCACACTCTGCTTTTGATGCCATTGTCCCCCTGGGCCGTGAGCACACATGGGTGTGCCACGTTGAGCTTCTCCCCCAGGCGTGCCCCCGAGTCCTTCTCGGCAGGGCTGCTCCCGGGGCCGCACGGCCTGTGTGGAAATCTTCTGACGTTCCAACGTCCCGCATTCTCCAGTGTGCATTGCTCTTGGGATTCGTGTGCAATTCTGGACAAGCAAAATGGTTTGGGAGGTTAGGATTTTCTTCTTCTTTTTTTCTTTAATAGACTTACAGATTGGTTTTATGTAATTTCTCCGTATTTATACTCTACACTGCATTGTTATAGATGTGTCTTCAGCAGGGAAATTTAAGTAGCATTTGAGGGACAGGATCAGGACTGGGCTTACCTGAGATGTATTTTCTCACTGTAACTCTCACCATACAACTCCAAGAAAATTACTTCATCTCAGTCCACCTCATTTTCTTCAATTTGCCTTTCATTTTTCTTGTATTCTTGAAATACTTGGAGGGAAGTCCTTAAATACATGTGGATGCATTACAGTCTTGTATAGGGCCATACTTATATTGGAAAGTAAATAATAACATAATAAAATCAGAAGATAGTATATTTTTATTTCTGTGCACATAAATGTTAAGTTTTTTAATGGATATTTTACTACAGGTTCAGTCTTCAGGTTGAGGTGAATTTTGACAACAAGCAGTAAAAACAGCTGTATTTTTTAATGTTTAGTCAGTTACAGAAGTACACACAGGTTTTTTTTAATGACCTTATGCAACCCCTGTTCTATTCCTTTCTTTTAGGAAGCCAGGCTGTTTCACTCAGCACTAAAGCTGAATGCTTCCCTAATGCTCCTCTGCTCTTCCTCATTGTGGTCTTCAATGTTGCATGGTTTCAAAATCAGCTGGGGAAAAAACGGCATCATTTCACACCTTCTGAGCAGTTGCATCTGAGCCATAACAGCTGTGAAGTGAAACTTCAAGGAGCATCCTGGGAGAACCATGGAAGTGGATTTATGACCTTTTGCATCTCTCTTAAAAGAAGAACTTTCTATTCCCTCAGATTCTCAAAAAGTCTATTGGAGTGCATTTAAAACTATCCATAAATACAGTAAGAAATATAAACACTTCAGTGTGTTTAGGTGGCTATCATAAATATGGCTACAGATGTCAGAAGGCGTGGGACAAGACTCAAATCCACTTGCAGATTTATGCACGCATTAGGATTTTCTTGGCTGGTTCTAATTTTAACTCAGTTTCCTGCTGTTGAAGGACTTAAAAACAAACATTTCTATTTATGCAAGGATCATCTATTGATAAACCGAAGCTTTTATGGTATTTTACATGATAGTCAATAAGCTAGTTTGGGGAGTTACAGAATGTGCATGTTACAATATCTATGGTTAAAGTCCCCTCCCTCCAGTTATTACGTTTGAGGGAGGGGGCATTGTTTTGTTAAATGTAGCAGGAGATTAGCTTTGAATTAGATTTTGTTTAATGAAAACCGTATAGGTAGGGATGTTGTGTTTAATTGGTAATCTCAGTATTGGAATACAGCACTTGTTACAGCATGTAATTTTGGGATGTTGAAATAAATAATCAACTGTCACATCAAAATGTCATATGGCAGGTGTGCCATCAAAGTATTCATACAATGAGATTTTTACTAGTATTTTTTAGTAACACATTATTTTCAAGGGTCAAGCTTCGTAGTGGCCTAGTTCATTTAGCAGGCCTTTGCTTTTCATTCATGTAAGTCTGCCCTTCTCCTCATAATATTATGTAAATTCAATTTTTCCACACAAAATATAAAAAATAATTTTTTTTTTTAAAAAAAATATACCTCTGAAAGGGGGCCTCCAAGCTGTGTGCATGACTAGTAAATTATCAGCTCTCTGCCCTCATTGCTGCCAAGATTTTTTTAGCTGCAGTTTGTTACACCACATCCCATAACACCATCTGCTCTGCAGCCATTTCTATGGCCTAAAATAGTTTTCACTTCTGTGGGCAATCCCAGTAACCTTTACTGATTCATCACATTCAGCAGGCTCAAACTCGCCAGCGATGAACTCGAGCAATTATTCTTTAAAATACCCAATGTGCCTTGACAAAAGCAAAGCAATCAGCAAAACACATGCAAATTTGCAATAAGTCTTACTCATCTTTCCACACATGGTTTGTGTGGCAATGGAGACGTTGAGACAGTGTCCATATTCCATCATGGAAAACGGCTTCTGCTTTGAAGCACCCAGGAGAAGGTTGCACCTGCACAAGCATAGCTAATGCCAGCCTAGGTAGCCAAGGTGCTCCAGCTAAAACCTGTGAGATTAGTCATCTGTGCAAAAAAACAACGGTTAAATTGAAACCACAGTAAGTGAAGAAATTACCTAAGTAATTTTTTTTCCTTTTAGTAGCAAATTCCACCATTTGCTCACTGACAGAATAATGTGCAGTTATACAGGGAGTGCAATTGCTCAGCTAAATACTTTGAAGTATGTATTCAAATAAGAGTAGTTCTGAATGATATCTTTGGATACTTTCATACATTTAAGAAGTGGCAAAATGTTATTTCCCACCACGTGCATGAAGAGATATGTGCTTCTTTGTATATACTTTGTAAATAGAAAAAAAATCCAATGTGCATTTCACTATATGGCAAGATATTTGTAGAACATGTGGAGGTTTAACTTTTCACTAGTAACA